ATTATACATCTATTAGATGTAACACGTCTAACATCATGTAGATAAATAATAAGTCTAATATGTGACTTAGAATATAGGCCTACAAACTTGTCAAAATAGATTATCGTAGGATAGATCCAAGTTGTTTTTGCACGACGCTCCCAAGACATAAATCCTGAACAACTTGTTTCCCGAGGAGTCAACGGCAAGTTTGCAGACATCAGGGTTCGACTCCTCTTGGAAACATATCTCAGGTAGCTTGTAGTGTAGCTTTGCACTAAAAACACAAACAATCGAACCTGAATAGCTTATACAAAGGAGTAAAGGAGGATTTGCAAGATCAGTTACCAAAGTCAGTATAAGAATTAATATTCAAGTAGTATCTCATTGAATTACATAGCAAAAATAGAATATTTTGAAATTAATTTCAGGTCAAAGTGGCCAACAGAAACAAAATGGCAGACGTTTAAATATTTTCCGGAAAGGATGCTATTACGTACAAAAAATATTATTGCATATACTAAATAAGATGATTGTCAAAAAAAGTCATTTTAGCATGTATAACAACTCAATCAATGACATATCAAAACACATAAGCAGTACGACTTGATGAGGGTTTGAAATACAGGGGTCATAGAGCAAGAAACCTATGTAAGCATAATGAGGTAAAACGATATAGTAGCTTGTTTAGATCTGTTTATTTGATTTGTGTATTTATCTTTTTTTTTCCTTTTAATGTTAATCAGTTATTCAAATTTTATTCTTATGTATAATAATGATAAATTATTTTTCATATTTTTTCCGTAAACAAAATCAGTAGGTGGATTTGTTTTATATTATGTATAATCATAAAAAATAATAACAGCTGATGTAACAAGACAAGCGCAATAACAATGGTCAGTCTGACGCTAAGGGTATCCCCAGACGAAATTGTTTTCATGCATTATGAAGCTTGTACAAAGAATAAAACAAGGCCATATACAATTCTTAAATAGTCCAAAGTTTTCATCTAATTTTAATCAACTTTTGGTAAAAAATGCTGTGCATCTTCCAAGGACCAAGCGATTAACTTTTGGTGAATCTAAGTCGAAGGTCAAAGTCACACAAAAGGTCGAATTCATAACTCGAAACATTTTCGGGTTGATATAAAAATTGAGTGTCCTCCAAGAAACACTTGATTAACTTTTGGCAAAAAGTAACTCTGAAGCTAAAGTCACACGGAAGGTCAACCACTTTAGTTATAATGGTAGCAAATTATGATTTTCAAAAACTGTCAAACTCAAGAACAAATTGAGATATCAAAATCTGACATCTTGATCTACATTTTTGAGGGTGAGAAATAGTTTGTTGTATATTTTAGTTTGGTTGGTGCAAAAGTCAAAACCATTGCGGGACGGGGACTGCACTTTAGTTTGCATATGTAAAACTTTTATTGTTGTTGTTCTTTATACAACAGCACCCTTTCCAAACATAAAGTAATCGTCTGCCATTTTGTTTCTGTTCATCCCATTAACCTGAAATATGTGTCAAAAAATCCAATTTTTTCCCAATTCTCTTTTATTAAATCCACTCTGTGTTGTAGCAAGGGTCAGAAAGGTCCTGGGGCAGTATTTTCGTGAGGGTTCTTTCTCTACATACTAACCCTTCTCCCAAAATTGAAAACATACAAAAAATTCACATCCTTTATTCTGTTACATAATCAACTAACATAATTTTTGTAGCTTAGAAATTTTCGAATTTATCCTGTTGTTAAGTGACGGTTTGAATGCCAAAAACTGACGAAGCATTGGGATCCAGTAAATAGATCTTAAACACACAGTCTGATCTGTAATTTGCAATGAACAAATTAATCTAAATGTTGAAACACCATCTGCAGCCTAACATGATTTCTTTCACGAATGGTTGGCCTAATGGTTTATAATGCTTTGCCAGCTTTTGACGTTCAAACCTTTACTTCATAATTCTTATACTACTTCTATAATAACGTTTCCTACTAACTTTCTTCTCTCATGAAAGCCTTCTGGGTATCGCCTTGTGGCAGATGAGAAATATATGTGAAATACTGTTTCAATCATCTGCAGTCTAATGTGCTTTTTGTCACAGATGTTAGGCCTATTAAATATCTTTCTTCTTATTGTTCCCTGTACTTAATAGTTTCAGAAAGTAATTTTTACTACAATCACGTCTTGGATTAAACCAACATGAATTTAAAACTTTTGATATTTGACTGTAGTTCACAGAGATAAATTATGTTTTTAATGCGCAGTCGAAATAATTCTAATGAAAAATTGTGTTAATGCCTCACGACTCACCCATAGTCTAAAAATAATCTAGGAAATAATGCTAGCCTATAGCTCTAATTAGGTGTTAGAATTCGTTATATTGATTCCGTCACACCAAAGCAAAGATAAACGAGCATTGACAAGTTGGAGGTGACACTGTGTACACATTTTTTACAGCATTCTTAATCTTAACACAACATTATCAGACCTTCTGCTTTAAATTCACAAAGAAAGTAAATTAATGAAAACCAGCAGTAATAATTAAACCTGGTTTTTATCTTCACATTCAGTATTCATTTAGCAAGCTTTGGATGTTTTATATAAATATACAATATTGCTGGAATTATCGTAAATAACTCTCAGTTGTTGTATTTATGTATATAACATTGTATCTCATTACTGCTGAAATGACAAATGATGTATTATTATTATTTTGGGGATCATTCTATTCATGTGCATTCACTATAGTGCTTTTTAGTTACCAGTCCCCCCCCACAGCGGGATGTCTGGGAACTTATACTGCTAGCTTTGTGCTTAACAACAAGCAATAGTTACCAGTTAGTATAAAAACAGTTCCAAGGGAGAGGTTGAGAGCTTGCTCATTATATATATATATGACTATAGAACATAGAGATAAAACTTGCTTGAGTCATATTATTTATTCATCCTTGCCAGATATTATGTTACAGTTTTCTTTAATATATTTTTTCTTTTAATATAAAACTTGCATAATATTCGGTGGATCTTTCGGGCTCCCATACACTTGAGCCTTAGGGCAATTGCCAACCTATTTCTCTACCGTTGAAGCCACGTATAAACCATAATGATTGATGTCTATTGTTCGTCACTACTTTTTAAAAATTTTTCTTTTAGAATTTATTCTGTGGATAATGTTATCTCGACTAATCACGTTTAACGTTATTAGCAGCTTACTATTACCTGCAAAAAGTTCTACTGCAAAGGAAAGTTGCATTGATCTATTTTTATTAGCTCATTAAGTATTCCAAGTCGCATGCAAACCAAAACTCGTGTAGACAACTGGTTTACCTCCATCACAGCTATCTTCCAAGACACAATCACTATAGACATACCACCACCTTGTAGTCAAACGATACTAAGTATGTAAAAACAACTGATTCAAAGGCGAAAAGTCTGACAACATTATAAGTTCTTACTAAAACTTTAGTTGAGTCTATTTCATCAAATATATCATTAGAAAGTTAGAGCTATCTTTCTGGAACAACGAAAGTTGTTATTTCTAACCAAAGCTCATCTGAATTTAAGAAGAAAAAAACAACAGGTAAACCAAGAAGTTGGAAACCTGTTGAAAATTTTGGAAAGTACAGAGATAAATAATAATAAGATTCCCAACATATCAGAAAAGACAATTCCCTTTATTTTAATATTAACAAAATAGATATAAAATGAAACATAGGTACCGCAATAATATAATCAAAAATAATAGATATAATACTTTTGGAGGTTCATTCTTTCTCTCTCTCTCTCTCTCTATATATATATATACTATTTTTATAACTAAATTTTAAATATATATATATGTATACATCCTCTTGTATATGGTGCTCGAGGAAGCTTTCTGAGTTTCCCAAATTTCTAGCTACTCCCTATCCTTTCCCATTCATCATATTATCTTCATCCGTTCCCCCGAGTTCGATTTCACTGAATGATATTTAGTAAAGTCCATGTGAATCTATCAATGATTAAGATATCTGTTTGTCTGGCATTATACCTTTTTTGCTATTAGTAAGAAATACGAATGTTTGCTTTATTGTTGTTGTTTTTTTTAAAGCACGTCAAGAAATGTTTATATAAAGCACTAAAAGCATAAGAACAAAATATTCTATACTTAAGAAGAAATTTAGACAGAGGAAACTACTTAACAGGAGACTTCTGTGAATTACATCTGCCTTTAAAAATTTTTTGTACAACATTTCAAAGCGTTAAACGTTGTCCAAAAGCTTCTAAAACAGATGCATCTACAGCAATCTCCAACCAAACACACTTTTTATTGAAATGTTTCTTCAGAATTTAAGTGAGAGGCAACATCAAATCATAATATGATACTTATACTAAAAAAAAACAAAAAACAATAGGAATGTCTCTCAGAAATAGTTTCTTTTCGGATATTGACGTAGTTTCAACCTTCTTTGAAACTTTTGTTACCGAAGAGGAAACAACAGTATGTTATTTGACAGCAGACCATGAATGTACCAATGTGTATTTACTAAACAAAGTGCCTAAACGCAGTCAATTTATAATTGATATTCAAATATAATATTCAGTTTTTGAAAGAGTGAATAGGTACATATGAGTAGTCAAGTAGAATATAATAACTACTGTGGTGCTTATTCACATTAACTTCTCGTCACCGATATTTATTGAATTAAACCAAATGTTTACTTTTAATAATAAAATGTATCTTTGATCTCAATAAGTGTTTAAACAAACTGAAAATAGTTCTCCATCTTTTAGTATGTTAAAAGGTGTGAGATGTTAAAGAAAGAATATATATAAACAAATAAAGTATTGGTAACTTTGAATATGAAATTACGAGAAATAATTTAAGTAATACTCATCATTGAGAACAATAAAACGGATATTTCTTAGAAAAGTGTAGTACAAAATAAGATGGAATATTTTTTTCCCTAAGAAGTAAAAATACTATTATTGCACTTATCAAAATAAAAAAATATATGAGTGAAAAAATATGTTTTATTGAAAACTAGTGGAAACTAGCAGTCAAGTAACACTCTACCGACCACTCCTGGCAGCAACTGTATGAACTTTCACTCACCACGTGAGTTTCCTGTTGGTAATAAATGGCATGACCTAGTTTTGAAGCTTTTTGGTAAAAACCTGCCCTGCGGAATGTACACCTATACTATTCTTAGGCATTATATATGTATGTTACGTAGAGTAGTGGTAAAATTGGACATTTAATTCATTGTTTTGGTCTGTAGAAACTTTTCTATACGTGGCTATAATATCATATGTCTGGAATCTATTTTATTTCTACATTCTAACACACCGAGCTAACTAGTAGCATTTAGTTCTAATCCTATTCATATGACACCAAGCATAGCAGCTTATTATTACATTTAAAATAAGATCCAAAACTCGAGCG